ATGCAAACTCAGAATATGGCGCAAACCTGCAATAATTAAATATATTAAATAACACAAATGTATCTAATCCCATTTTATTAACCAATGTCTTTGCTGCTGACCTTTGATGATCCAGTTCAACCATACTAATAAGCAAAAATGACTTTAGATAAACTAACAACTGTGCTTTTTTTTTATTGCTGAAGAGTGTTTCTTCTCCTGCGTTCTACTGTACAGACGTGAATTTACTTTTGCTTCAGCCTGAGGTTTATTCATTACACTTTTTGGTGTGAAAGGGCTTTTATATTTGCTATAAATAGAACTTATATTAAAAACAATCAAGCCCTGCTTATATTTAAAAAGTAACGCGAAAGTAACGTAACGCATTACTTTACATAAAAGTCTAAGTAACGTAATTAGTTACTTTTTTAGGGAGTACCGCAATATTGTAATGCAGTACTTTTAAAAGTAACTTTCCCCAACACTGCTCCCTAGTAATAGATTTCAAGATCAAGGTAACCTTAGCCTAAAATTCAAATATTATATCCAGTTATCTTTCACAATATATCAAATATTTTCTGTGATATTAAATTATAAAATAAGACTAAATGCATCAATTATACAAAAGCAGCCATGCCGAGTTGTGAAATGTGGGGCAGGTGAATTGTTTTCATCAGAAAAATGTTCCTAATTGCAAATATCAAAGGTTTCTCTGTATGGGTCATTTTTGACCCATGTGTGTAAAATGTATGTAGAAAGTGTTTATATATATATATATATATATACAGGTGCATCTCAATAAATTAGAATGTCGTGGAAAAGTTCATTTATTTCAGTAATTCAACTCAAATTGTGAAACTTGTGTATTAAATAAATTCTATGCACACAGACTGAAGTAGTTTAAGTCTTTGGTTCTTTTAATTGGGATGATTTTGGCTCACATTTCACAAAAACCCACCAATTCACTATCTCAACCAATTAGAATACTTCATAAGACCAATAAAAAAAACATTTTTAGTGAATTGTTGGCCTTCTGGAAAGTATGTTCATTTACTGTACATGTACTCAATACTTGGTTGGGCCTCAGTT